TCCCCCCTTGGCACAGAGTGAGGCCTGCCGGCACCCACACCGAACTCGGAATCGAGCAGGCAGGGACACAACCCCTGTCAGCATTGGCACTTACTTGCTGTGTGACTCTTAGCAGGGAAGGTGCCTTTATATAAAACAGGCATAAAAATGTGCAAGTGCTGGGGAAGGTTCTGCAAGAGGGGCAGCGGAAAGAATTAGGGAATTGCCAGACATTTTCCCATCCTTCTAGCTTTCTACAAAACCCCATCAGTTTTCCCAAAATAAACTATGCCATCTGCCAGTATTTCCTATGACAGAATCACACATAAAATCAAAATTACTCACTAAAAACTCATCCCGGATGAAGAACTTGGCTCTTGTGACTTTGGGGTCTTCTCCTGCATCTGGTGTTGCTGTTCAATTAAAAAATAAATGACATCAGAAACATGAAAAGCAAACATTCACCTACTTTTCATAACAGAAGATTTAATAGAGAGGAAGTAGTCCTTTGATAGAGAAATTAAAATGTTAAATATCCACAGACAATTCCTGATGGCAATTCTAAAATGGAAGCATACTATAAAACCTGACTCTGCATTTAGCATATTTTAGGAACCTGAAAATTGCTGAAAACATTGCAACAATGTCACCGGTCACATCATAAAGAGGCTTACTCACATCCACAAGTTTGTTCATATAGATACAAACCAAGTGGGAGTTAGGGTTTAACTTTTACCAGAAAATATGACTAGAAAAAGCAGCTGAGCTGTTCAGTTTCTGCAGCAGAACAGCATCTCCTGAGTAAAGCTTCTGCACGAAGGAATTTGGATTTAAAAATGGTTAGTCTAGGATTACACTTAAAAAAATAAGAGCATCAAAAGATCTTTTTATGTATTTTACTTCCAGGCTCCAAATCAGCAGAACACTTAGATTTACTGACTATCAAGGTGCCTTAGATTAAATTCTTGTGGTGTGGAAGACTCATTGGTCAGCACTATTTGTTGGCATATGAAGTCACCTCTGTCCAGGCCATGTAACAGCTATGTTTACTCCAAGTCTAAAAAACAATACGATGAAGAGATAGTCTATTCATTTCCCTTCAGAGCGATTTCACCTCATCTAGGATACCATATTAGATATTTGTAAATGTAATATGGTGAAGGGCAGTAATTACCAGAATATGGAAACATATTTTTTACTCTTAGCTAAAGCACTTGGGGTAAACATTGAGCAGCAGCATAATCAGCAGCATCCTAAGAGTTCAGTGCTGCTGACCTTAAAGAATGTCAGCTGAAATTAAGGAACAAATGAACTACTACAGGTTAAAAACAGTGAGCTGCTTCATGTCTGAATATTCTGGATCACTCTGGATATCTGCTGTGAGATCCCGCTGAGAAACACCAAAAGCTACTTTATTCTGACAACTGGCTTACTGCAAATTTACCCAAACTCTGTATATATGTGGTGTATGTCTGGGAGAGGAAAATTTGAGTGATGGTGAGAGATGACTACTTCTGGAAGCCCTTAGCCTTAAAAAATCGGCATCAGGTTAACTCAGATTTTAGGACAGCTTATATATCCTCTCCACGAGAAACTCAGCATCACAATTCTGAAATTCTAGACCTGAATGAAAGGTGAAAATAGCTTATTACCATCTTCACATCTATAACCTAAGCTGATGCTGATGGTTAGTGGAGAAGGAAAACCTCTTCTGAGAGGTGACTGCAAGCACTATGCCTGGGGCATCACTGGGGGAAGCCAGAGGCTAGTGGTCAGAAAGTGCTCATTTTATCACTTTTGCTAGACGCAGACCTGAGTATTTGCGAAGCCCTCTGCCTGATATAAAACTGGCATAATAACAGAGTTTGCTTATGCAGTATGTTATGGTGCAGGAATCATACTTCTAAGAAACCAAATCCGTGCTAATTGCTCCATCATCACAGCTCTCTTTGTATTTATTGATGTGGTTTTGCTCCATTAAAGTTCCCTTGCCTCTCTGCTGGGCTTCCCGTCGGTATTGGCAAACACTGAGGTTTGCAGTGTTGGAGGATACAGAACGGCTGCAAAAGAAGCCTAACAAATCTCTAACGAAGTTCAGCATCGTGGAAGGTCCAAACGGGAGCATCTGACTGGGGCTTTCCTAGGGCTGGAGGCTGTTCCAAAGCAAGGGAAGCCAGGTGCTCTGGGGCCAGCCCCCCCCCAGCTCCCCCCGACACTCCTCACAGCAGCCAGAGCCCCTTTGGACCCTGCCCACGCTGGGGCACCGCCGAGGCACGTGCTGCCGGGATGCTCCTTGCCTGACTGACAGCTCACATTAAGGAATGGTGTGGGCTTGTGAATTTGCCTGCATGAGTGTGAGAGACAGAGAAAGAGAGGAACTACGGGCTGGGCTGTGCTAAGTGAAGAATCTTACCATCTTCAGGTACAGTATAATGCGCATATTCAGGAAAGTAATCTTCGATTTTTGATTTCCCTGCCAAGACTTTTTCAGCCAGCATGTCCTGTTTATTCAAGAACAAAATGATAGAAATGGTCCGTAACCACCTGTCAAAAACAAACCAAATGTTTGTGTTATTTCTGACATGTTAATCAAGATCACGTCAATAGAAAATGTACTGGCTATCCCTGCACAGACAGAGTGAAGTAGTGTGGAACATGCTTCAATGGAAGAAAAAAGAAGACCTAAACTATTGTTTCGATTGGGTTGCACCTATGCTGGTTGGTGGAAGTTCTGCAAACACATTTAAAAAAACTACCGTAGACATTGCTGAAGGGAGCAGTGTTCAATATTGTTTTCTAAATTATCCTTTTGATATTGAGCTAGGAAAACAATGACATTTCCTACAAGCACCAGAGTCCAAAACCAGGCACTACTGTCTGCTATATTTGGTTTTGCTGAAGCAAAAGAAAAAGGCTAGAAAGCTGCCTTCCCTCAGACTGCTCTGGCTTAACGACTGGTCATCCACACAGATACCCTGTCTTTTAGGGTGGCCTGCATGACACCTGAATCAAAATAAAATAATCTCTTTTCTTTCCCAATTAATATCTAGTCATCACTGTGATGATGTGCCTTTAGCACCTGAGATTAACATTTTTCCTCACTCTACCTTCAGCCAATTCTCACTGCAGAGCATTCTCGTAGGTATGTGCTGAAAACCTCATTATCTTGTGTATTGTTTTAACTTATTGTCTACCAGGAACATACTTAAGATTGCTATTTGGCCACACACCTATAATTGACATGCACTGTGGCAGAATGGCAGTTTAAGGGCAGTCACAGTTAGATTAGATCTGAAATATCATCCCACAAGGCAGAGAAACTCTCTCAGAGACGAGTCTTACGAGAGCGGCTGCCCACGTGGGTATCGAAGCCCCCCCCCAGCCGGTGAATCGAAGGCAACGCCAACAGAGAGCTGCTCCGGCTGCTGCGCTTGAGGAGGAGACGAAATGTAATTTGGAGGATGCTGCTCAGTCTCGGTCGAGCAGCACGCTGACGCTGGGAAACGGTCTCCCTTGCTTCCCCCACGGCAGCCGGCGTGGGGGCCTCGCCCTTTCCAAGCTGTCCCCACACCCTGTGGTGTTTTGGCGGCAGCTGCAAGATGCAGATGCCCCCTCCCCGTGCCACGGCCTCTGCCAGGGAGAGGTACGCGCCACGGCGGCACCTGGCGACCCGGCCCGACCTGGGGGGTCTCCCCGACAGGGGTCCTCTTTTGTCAGGGGTTGAACTGTAGCTAAATGTGGGAGGGTGGGTGGGAAATGCGGTATGTTTTACCTATTATTCCAGATACTTTTGAAAAGGTCCAGGGATTCCCGTAGTCTGTTTGTGTTATTGTCTTCCCTTATTACCATGTTGTAGCTGCTGCAAGCCACAACAAAGATGATAGCTGTGACATCTGGGCAGAGCACAGAGAAAAAAGAAAGAAAGGAAAGAGAAAAGAACATCTCCATTATTCCAGCACATACTCCCAGGGGTTACGCTGCCATTACTCCCCAATCTGCCAAAAATACCCAAAGAAAATATCTATAACACTGGACTCCTGTATTAGTGACACACTAAGTGCGAATAAATACTATGCCATTCACACCACAGAGACTAAGCTCAAAATTCAGACTATTTTTACTTACCATTAAAGCATTGGATCCATTTTCTTCTCTCATCTCTCTGGCCACCTACATCAAACATGCTGTTAAAAAGCCATAGGATGTTATATCACTTATGTGCACTAGGAAAGTCACACGTAACATGCGGCACATGGGTTCAGTTTAAAAGTCTGACAGCCCCAAGGATAGTGGCAGTAAAATATTGCCCGAAGGGGAGAGGCATCTGCTGATGCTGCTCAGCTCCACCTGTCCTGCTCTGCCAGGAGAATGCTACTGAGCCCAAACCTGAGAAATAGACTCGTTTCCAGGGCAAGTATTGGCCCTTCCAGCCCACAGGATTCTGCACATGTGGCATGTAAGGTTGGACCTACTGTACTATGAACAAGGATAAGTTTTGGCACATTTTGAAGCACGGTGGGGAGAGTGCGCCTCTGTAAGGAGGACGACATGTGGGCAGCTCTGCCCCGCCAGTGCTGCCACTTTTCTAGGCAAGAACCGGTGAGTGAAGACAGCCCAACGGCAGGTGTGTTACAGAGATACAGTGCAAAACTTCGACAAACACAGAGCCCTCCGGAAGAAGGGAGACATTTATCTCTCATTGTTCCACTGTATGAAGTCTGACTTGGGCAGGATTCCCACTGACTTCTGTAAGATCTTATCCTCAGAAGTATTTTAAGTTTACAGTGCTGTACCAAGGAACCAGTTAGTGAAAACAGACACAGAAAAACCCACCCCAGAGTATCAGTAATACATATATCTAGTATCACCTCTTTTCACAAAGTATGAGGCAGTTTTACTAGGACCTAGAGAAAGTGAGAAAAACCCCCGAATCAAACAAAAAAAAACCCAAACAAGTCCCACCTTACACTTAACTACACCAAGCATACATGAGCACATACACCTGAACTAAGTTGTTAAAAATTATATGATATTCATAAATTATTACTAATAGACTTACTGGAAATTTACTTTATCGACTTGAAATCTTGTTTCAAAAATCCCTGATGTCAACACTCTGCATCTTAATAGGTCCTGCAAATGAGAACACAGAAACTGGTGAGCAAGGTCTTTTTTCTAACCTAATTTTGTTTTTTGAAAGTGCAGAATATTATTTTCCATGAAAGGTCTTAAACATTTCATTTAACTGAAGTTCAGTCAGACTTGCTGGTAAACCTTCATTTGTCCATACTGACACAGTGGTTATACACAAATATAATCTTTGCCTTTTGGCTTGTGCACACTTGGAAAGCGGAAGACTCTATACATGTTCTCCTCAGTGCACACTGAAATCTGTTATTGGTGGTCATATAATTTTGTATGTGATGTGGATAATGAATTCTGAAGTTACGTAAAAGTAAGAAAAACATGTTATTCGTGTTGTAAAGTCAAGTACTCAAATGTTAGAAAACTCAATTTACAGTTGCCCAGGCAACCTTAATTCTGCCCTCTTTTGTACTGAATGAGACAGGAATCCTGACTGAGTAATTAAAGTTCTGCTACAGAGCACAGGGGAACAGAATTTAGGTTGTACATAAATCTGGCATTTCTTTCTTATTTGTCAAATGAGCAATACTTTATGGCTTAAATAACATTCTTTTAATGATTAAAAAAAATAATAACTTCCTAGATTCTCAAAGGAAGTAGGCAAAAGCCATTTATTAGGCACACCTCAGCCAACTAGCTCATCGTGTGCCCCTGTCATCACCAGCAGCGTTTTTAACCCTGACTATGCCAGCACCGCTGCTCTGGTGGTGGGTGCAGAGCAAAATCCGGGGGCTGGAGGGAGCTGTCAGGTACCTGATGGTGAGGAACCCCCCTGAACAGTCACCTCTTGGCAGTGCCACTTGCCAGGGGAGTGCTCCCTTCCCAGGGCACAGCAAAACTCAGCCACTTTGACAGTTGCCTGAACTCAGCCAAATGCCACTTATTCGATTATTCTAGTTATTTTATACGTTATGGCCATTTTCTGTTGCCTGCTGACATTTATTTGTTATTGGACTCAGCCGTTATTTTGTGATAGTTCAAAAGAAATTAAAGAAAGCAAGAGAAAAAAGGGAAGTAGTGATCTCTGCCAATGAATTCAGCCAGACAACTGATTCAGCATAACAGGATGAAAACCCAAAAGGAAAAGAGAATTTCTCCTTTAGAACAATTTCAGGCTGCCAAATAGCAAAGGCCTCTTCTGATCTTTGGAGACATGGGGCGTTCTTTCCCAAATGAAATATCAGGAAAAACTTCTAGATGATGAATGCTCCAGGTGGAGAAAGGCCTCCCAGGTACAAACAGGCCAGCACTAACATAAATAATGAAAGCAAAAAAGAGGTTTTGCTTCATTGACTTCTCTCTCCAGCTGAGTCATATCAATGCTTAAAATCAGACCATGAGGTCTAGACAGAGTAAATCCCAGTGCTACTGCTTTGGTCTGAAAACGTCTTGAGGGCTTTAATAATTGATCCTACATTGGGTCGACTATACAAGTTTAACCTTGTAACACAATGCATGCTCCTCTTCACTGCCTTTCGTTTCAGGATACGGTCAGAGTAACTGGACAGGCTTGTGGTTACAGAGCTGAACTACTTCTGAAGGATCTGGCTCTGAGCTCTGTACTTCCATGTGTGACCACTGGTAAGTCATTTCAGTTCTCTGAATGAACAGTGAGATCTGGCAATTGTATTTCTTTAAAGGCATCCACCCGTTATACACCTTGCATGATTAGACTGAATTATCCAGTGCAGGGATTCTCTTCTGCCACCTGTATTCACAGCTTATGACGTGGCCCACAACCCTGGCTGAGACTACCAGATGACAGTGGGATAACAGCACTGAAAAACAATAACCCTTGAATAACTTCGCTGAAGAGACATCCTGCCTAAGAGTTCCACACAGCCTGAGCTCAGAGAAGTCGTGTGCCACGGCAAAAGCCCCTTCATACCTCAAGGCTTCACCTTGAATGTGTTTGTCCTGAGAGGACTCTACCAACGTGCATCATAACACCTAGGAAAGAAGTGTACAGTCCTGCAAACAAGGCTTAAATAGAAACTATCTTGTGCATAGGACATGGGCACAGGCTGGAAAGGTGTCTGCATGCCCGCAGAGAAATCCTGGAGGTCTGCTGCTGCCCCTGGTGCTTTCCCGTGGATTTGGACACTGGACCCCACTGCAGGCTTCTGCCTCTGAAGAACCCAGCTGACAGACATGGGAAGACTCCCTCAGGGTTTCCACTGCCTCTGCCACTGAAATAAAACACTGCTTCTGTGTAGCGAAGGCTCGTGATGGAAACCATAGGGTTCTACATTCATGTTTTCTGTTCCTTTGGCTTTGTTTGCAGAACACAGAATGGAAAGCAAGAAGAAATAACAGATGTGTTACAGCAATCACAGACCTACATACAACAACAGTAAAAGACAAGCTTGCACCACCAAAAAGCCTCTTCTTCTTTAATGTGAGTTACTTAAACTGCTAGATTGCATGTGGATATGATGCAGTATGCCCTATTTCAGCTGCTGCTGGGACTAAAATAAATTACATAAAGAATCCATACAAATGGGAGTCTTGGTTCTGACCCCACCCCATTAGTTATACTAACCTGATCTGTGGGTGTGTAGTCATCCATGCTGACGCTGTCGATTCTTTCTAAAAAGCTAGAAGAAAAACAAAATGCACTTAGGTATGTAAAACACTGTCCAATGTAAAAATTTTCACCACCTTTTCTGGTTTAGATTCCTGCTGCAAAGTAAGAGAGAAGTCCAATGGTAAAGGTATGAATCCAATGATTTACCTACAGTGATTAAGGTTACATTTTCAAAGTCAAACAATTTTTTACCCAGACTCTGTTTCAATACAGCACTTCTACACTTACCATTATGCAGTACCAACAAGTTGTCCAAATGCAGTTAAATGTTATAATTCTGTGAGGTCCACTAAAAAATACTAAGACTAACTGTGTGTCGTAACACTATACGATTGTTGAGAAATATAAAAAGATTCAGGAGGTTAAAAAAGAAAAGGGTTGCCTTTATTTAGCGTATTGCTAATCTAGCACATGTTAGGTTAATTACGGTCTCAGTAACGTTAACACCAATGCTTGTTAATAATATCTACAAATAGCTCTGGACCCACATGCTGCCCTCAAACGCTGCAACCAAAGTGTAAGAAGTAGAAAGCAGAACTGACACGAAGCAGAGGTTAACCAGCCTGACTCTTTATGCTGCGTAAGGTGAAACAAAAACTTAGAACTTCAGGGAAGGGCAAGAGAAAAGGGAATCAGGAGAAAGGGGGGGAACCACATTCTCCAGTTATTTAAAAAAATATTTTCAAGCTTTTATTCCCTCCCAGAACATGTTAGAATGGCAGTACTAAGGACTTAAAATGAGATTTATAGTTATATATATCATATGCAGCTAAAACAGGCAGGTTCTCCTTTCTCACTTTTGCCCATTTATTTCTTAGTTTCATATGAGCCCAGCTGGCTCATCTTCCCCAGACTGCCCATATGTCTTAGAAGCTTTCTTGAATTTCTGCACTGTTATTTGGTATTTGGCAAGTGAACAACTCACCAGTTGATTCATCCTGCTACAATATTATCAAGATTGCTTTATCAATTGGCAAGTTTTCCCCAATTTTACTTGGGTGTGCATGATGGAATCTACTTACTTGCAGCGGGAAGGACAAAAACCCAGTGAACTCTTGAGTTACGATGAGACTCATTGCTAACACAGGGGTCACACACACTGACTAGTTGAAAAAATACCCCCCTAAAAGCTTGTTTGTAATTCTCACACCACTTTCCCACGGATACGAACTGAAAGGAAAAGAAAATACGCTGCATATATATTTACTTACACTATTTTTCCTTTTTGAACCTCCATTGTTATAACAGGGAAACAACATACAGTATCTACAGTTAGAATACCCAGCTTTTCTTTCTGGATAATCAAAGCGTGACAGCTAAGCATATTGTTTAAAAAAATCACTGCTTAGCGCAACACGATGGGTGGCTGATAAAAAAACCATATTGAATAAACTCTAAAGAAAAATATTTTTTTAATAAAACCTCCTCCCTTGCCAAAAGCCACCATAAATTTCTATAAAGACATAAAAGCACATCTTAATAGTCAGCTACATTCACCATGAGAAAGTTGCTGTATTCCAATCGATCACAGAATCACAGAATGATTTTCATCACCTTGAGAATACTGATTAAGCAAAGTTTAACTTCAGTTATCCCCGCAGTTAATGCAGGCACAGGAGCAGAGTGAGGTATTTTTAACTAGCGCACCTATCATTAACAGAACTCTCATCTCACACCTGCAGCACATGAGATGAAAAGAGAAGGCAAAAAAGCCCAATCCAAAAATGTCTCCAAGCTGAATCTCTTCCTAAATGAGGAGTAATTTTCTTTAATACGGCAGGCAGCACCCCTCTGTTTCCAAGTCCTTTTCAAAGTTTTCTGTCCAGTTTCTCTACAGTTTGATCAGATAAATTCTCTTCAGTAAGATAAAAGGCTAGCAGAGGGGTAAATCCTGGTCTCTGAGAGCAGTAAGGTGGCAACACCAGCAGGTTCAACAAGTCTGCAGAAAACAGGCAGGAGCCTGAGGGAGAGCTAGCAAAGTGCTGCAGGTAGCGTAATTATTTGCACATCTCGGGATCACTAAATGCAATAGAAGCCAGAGGAGAAAACACTCCTCAACTGTGGCCGACACAGAAAATGCTCTGGTTAAAAAAGCGAGCATTTGTGTGCAAACATGGCTCCATCCCAAATCTCACAAGACAGAGTGAATCTGTGATTTTCTTGCAGAAGCATTCCTTCTGGAGTTTGTGTCTAAATCAAGAGATGATACATCTTGTCTCCCCAATACCAAGGTCGTGTTGGCAGAATTTATCCAAAATGATTAAACATGGTATTAATACCAATTCACATCTCTCTCGCCTATACAACAACCACTCCTGAAAGGTTATTGCTTGTTAGCGTTTGCGTTTTCCAAACAGGCAAACTATGGTAAGGAATAGTGGAGTGAGTAATGCAGAGCTACACTACAAATGATCCATGGCAGGGTTGGGAATGAGACTGTCTCCTAATTAGATGTCCTACGTATCAGCCCAAGTCACCTTCCATTTAGAAACAGTCAGCCTCCTTCCGGTAAAAGGATCCGTTTCAAATACCCTAAACCACAACCCCGCAGTTAAGAGAGAGTAGGCTCTGACAAACACCATGCACCTAAAAATTATCACTTGACATAGCAGCCGTATTGTTTTATGCTTGTAAAATTGCTGGCCACAGCTATCATTAGCGAAATAAATGCAATAATTTACAAGGCTGTACCTGCTACCCCGCTGTATCAAGCTCCAGCGAGATCACTAGCATCCAATAAATCAACATGCACCTACTAGTAGGATTTGGCCGAATTCTGTAGTTTTACAGAAAATTAACCTTGTCAGTGTGTGATGGACAGACTTCCTTAGATTTCATTTGCAACTACATTAAATGTGCACTGAGATTTCTAGATGTCGAAACCCAAAAAGCTACACTCCTACTTTTTCAGAATAAAAACAGTTCTTGAATATCCTTCATATAAGCTCCTTACCTGGCTAATTAGCACAGTATAAAAAAAATAGCTCTGACAGGCAATATACACAGTAGGTACAAGTAATGGATTCCCGATGAGATAGGGAGTCAGTACTGCCTTGTTACTAAATACACGAACTTCATTCTCGTTACTGTACAGGAAAACTGGAGTAACTTTTCTAAATTGCTTTCCAAAGAACATTACTTTCTACTAATCCTAATTGCCTCTAATAATTATGTTCTGGCATAATACACATTCTGGCATAATACACACACATATATAGATGTAAATACACACCATATTTTAAATTTAGATGACTAAAATTTCAATTTAAAGGGCTCAAAGTAGGAAGATATCTCCTGACTGCGGCAACACTCATGTCTCCGCTCAAAGAATCAGTGTGAGTAAAACACAGTAGCAGAAAAATGAGTAAGAATGGACACTAGTATCACTTATTCCCTCTTTTTAGAGCCTGTTTTTTTCAACTCAGGGATAGAATTATTTCCACAGAACTGTGCATTTCTACAATACTGACAGGTCTTCTAGTTATGCAGCTTTTACACAACCCCAAACTCAGGACTTCTGTGAATTCTGCACTGACTGTTTTGCATGCACGTGAACTTTAAACTCATGCATTCAACTCACCTGTGAATAAAATGGTAACATATGATACAATATTTATATTTCTGCTTCACAATTGTCATTTTATTTATAAAGGATTTAGTCAGATAATTAGTATGACATTTAGGTTCTTCTTAATTTTATGGTAGGATGTTTTACATTTCCTTATATGGAACAGGACAAATTGCCCTTTTTTAAAAAATAAATTAGGCAAGATATATTGGAAGGAAGGTCTCCACTGCTCTGTTCGGAAATGTAGTGGTTTGGTTTGCCAACAAATTAAAGCAAAGCAAAATGGACTGATAAAGTTAAAAAAACCAATCACGAGCTACTGACATTATTATATCTATTATTAAGCCAATCTGTAGTTTTATAAATATCTTCAGTGAGTTTCCTAGGAAACTCAGTTGACACTTGGTTTGACAAGCAATCTCTAAATTTTATATTATGCAAGTTGTGAACACAAAAGTACAGGTTTTATATGTGCCTGCCAGTGCATGTGGGAACTATCAATAAGCATTATTCTCTTCGAAAACCATGGCAATTTGAGCAGCAGTAGAAGCTATATAAGAATGCCTGAAAAAAAGGATCCATAAAGGCACAAATAAAGAGGTAATTGCACATGAAAATCCTTTTCTCACTGGGTAAATCACCATGCAGCTCTGTATAGATATTCTGACCCCACAAACAAGATCACAACCAAAAGAAAAATCACACCTTGAGAATAATACGACACGAAACCCATGCCGTATTTGTAAGTGTCGTTTGCCATCCAAAAAATTCGAAAGATGAAATGCTAAAGTGGAGATCAATACAACAAACTACACACTTTAATAAATCTTAGTCTACTTCAACCATTCTTTATGCTCTCACCTCAACATTTCAAAGGCCTTGCATCAAAAATTTGCTCTGGAAAACAAGACGACAAACCCACATCAAATATGCTTGTCTCTACAAGAAAAAGGTGACGTAGAAAATCTTTAAGGCTGTAGCTTTAAGTACGCAGAGTGAAGAATCTCAGATTTATTCTCAAGTAAGTTGTTGGGATCAGCAAACCTTTGCATGGACCATTAAGAGCTTTGCAAACTCCTCAGCCAGTCTCAAAAACCAGCAGAAGCTCCATAAACTACTATATGAAATCATTTAGGACCAGGACTTTGAATTCCACCCTCTTTGGATTGCAGTAAGCCACAGGTGAGGCAGATATTTCACAATAAGAACATCTACCCCAGGTCTCCAAGGAGCTGAAATGGAAAAAAATACCCTTTAGTTTTCCCTCTCCTGTTACAGTTTAACAGGGATATCAAGTTCTGAACTTTTTTCACCTCTTCTTTCGAAAATACATATATATAAATCAGGGAAGGGATTACAATTCTGTTAATTCTTCTTGCAATATTTGAAATAAGAAACTATGGACTTCTGGTTTCAAGAATAACTTAGGTTCTACA